GTCCGAGTTTTCATTTGTCTGAGTTTTTAAATTATTTAAAAAAATATCAAAATATCATTTGTCCGAGTTTTCAACTGTCCGAGTAGGGGCAACATCAAAATGTGACACTGCGCGCCGAGACTAGCGTGTCTAAAGCGCCTGTTCAGAAGTCGATGTGAACCCCTTCTGTGAAGAAGGAGTCGGGCATTGTGCGAGCCGCGAGAGGCCCTTACGTCGACTTAAGAAAATTATATTATTTTTATTATAAGACTAATTTTACAATTTTTAAATATAAAATCAAACTGTCATCACCAAACACAACCAACCAAACTTACTGATAATATAATAATGGTGGGGGTATTTTATATTATCAGCAAGTTTGATTGGTTGTGTTAGGTGATGAGACCAATACTGACATGTGTGGGGTAAGGGCGCAGTGGTGGGAGAAAGTGAAACCCCTCCCCCGCCACACGGGCTCAGCCCAAGGTCGCCGACGCCCCCTCAGTCTCAGTCCAAATCTGAGTCAGACAACATGGCGGACACCAGTGTGTTTAGTGTCGAGGAGCGTTTGGTTGCTTCTGTGTGGGTGCATGAGCGTCCTCACAACAGAAAAACAATGGAGGAAATCATGAATGACTTTGCAGTGCGGTTTGAGAAACCTTCACCGTCCCGGCAAACATTAATAGCGTGGGAAAAGAAGGTGTTTGCAACGGGATCTGTTCTCGACGCGCCAAGAAGTGGACGACCGATTACTCGAGTCGAAACCTGCGCTGCTGTGGAAGCTTCCGTTGCACGTTTGCCAATGAAATCCACCAGAAAACGGTCTTCAGAGCTGGGAATTCCACGAACAACAATGCAAGACCACATGGGAAAGGATTTGGATATGAAGTGCTTTCGGCCCCTGTCAGACAACGACATGGACCTTCGTGTGCAAGCGTGCCAGGTTATGCTTCGACGCTTTCCGAGGCACAGAGACAGGAAAAACGTCATGTTTAGTGACGAATGTGCGATTTACCTCAGTTCTCGCAACCGGAATGTTTATTTCTGGTCGAAAGAAAATCCTCACTTTTATGAGGAAGTTGAAAATAACCTGCCTCATGTGATGCTTTGGGCTGGGATAACTTCCGACCACCTGCTTGGCCCCTATTTTTTCGAGGGCACTGTTAACCAAGACAGCTATCATCGAATGATAAATGAATGGTTGGTTCCTTAACTAAGAGCACGGCGAATATTGGACACAGTTATTTTGCAGCAGGATGGTGCTCCACCACACTTTGCGCTGAGTGTTCGCCGCCGCCTGAATGAACTCCTGCCAGACCGATGGATTGGGCGAGGGTATGCGAACTGTCCTTTCCCAATGCCCTGGCCTCCAAGGAGCCACGACCTGACGACAGCTGACAACGCACTGTGGGGTTTTATCAAGGAAGAGGTGAGGAAACAGCGGTATGTCACAAATGACGAGCTAAGAGAAGGAGTAAGGGCGGCGTTTGGACGAGTCACACCTGAGATGCTGCGACGAATGAGCAAAAGAACATGGCGTCGAATCAAGCTCTGCCGAGACCACGGAGGTATGCACACCGACGTTTTGGACTAATTTTCTTGTTCACTTTTAAGTAATTGTCAATAAATTTGTGATTAAAGAAAATTCGAATGGTTTGACTTAATACCTATAAAACTTATATTCAGTGTAAATTGACTTTTCGGCCACCCTGTAGTGGCAGAATATTTCAGTTCTGGCGGATAACATGCAACTTGGGGTAGTTATAGTATACAGGTTCCTGAACGTAAAATCGCCCAGACCCCAATTTTTAAAGACTTCGGTCATGCGTGATGAGGAAATCAAGATAGCGGCCCTAAGAGGATGCTGGATCGTCATTAATTGGTTATAATACCCAATTGCCTTAACCAATTTTAATGAAATTAAACAGCACACATGTGTGTGGATACCATATCTCGGCCCAGGTTGTAAATTGTCGAGTTTAATCAAAACATTTGTAAATTGAATGAAAAGAAATAATAGTGTAAAAAGTCACCTAAATTATTAAAAATACTAGAGAACCGAATAGTTCAATGAGCCGCAATAGTGTGAAAAATAACGCCGAGAAAAACGTTATATGCTTAAATTTGAGTAATTCTAGTTACATCTTAGAGTTGTTTAAACACTTGTTAGAAACTAATTTTAAATATCTGTATTTGCGTCGTCAAGGTTCACCTACATTATTTCTGCCCTCAGTTTTAACTGATAATTAACTTCTAATGAATGCTAAATGACCTGCTTCAATTCGAGTTAACATGATGCTACAAAGTTTTTCCAGCATTGAGAATTGAAGAAAACTGTTGCTTTACTGATAACCTGTGTTAAGTATTTTAAGTTGGGTCATTTTATTTCTTTGATTTGAGACATCCCCCTAATAAAACAAATTTTCTCCGTATAAAATCCTGAAAAGTCGGGTGATTTAGTATCAACCATTTCATGTGATCCATTTTTACCCAAAAACTCTGGGTCACCAACTGGACAGCATAATCTGCTTTGAATAGGCTAAGGCAGCAACACCATTGAATGTTGGTTAACATATTTTAACGTGTTGTCTCTCAGTCACAGTATATGTTATTATTATTATCTCAGCCCCGCATCAGAACGTTCTCACGTTATTCAGTGGAGTTTCTCTTAATATCTGTCCAAAAGTTTTGAAAGTATGGATTCATTTGTCGAAATAGGTTGGATAACTCTTGTAGCTATAAGATTTGGATGGCAATTTTCATTTTCTCTTTTTAAACAGCGTATATTATTTGCCTCTCCTGAATATTTAAAATAAACTTTACCGTCACTCCTCGATTGTTGAAACACAAGGTCCGCCAAGATTTATGGTATAATCTTACTACTTGAACTTATCATAGGCAAGGCATTATTATAGTTTCTAATAACACAGAGGATACGCGTCCGGTAACCAGACGTGGATTAGGCGTCCGGTAACCAGACGTGGATTAGGCGTCCGGTAACCAGACGTGGATTAGGCGTCCGGTAGGGGGTCCCGGAACGCCATTACCACAATGATACGATGTTCAGCCATCAATGTTCGTGGTGTAGTGGATAGAGTGCTCGGCTGATATGCGAGAGGTCCCCGGTTCGAAACCCATCGGTACCTTTACCTTTTTGTCACAGATTTTGCTTTGAATGTAATTTCTTCTTAACTGTACATCTTTTGTTAGAATTTTCGGCATTTATAATTTTATGTTATGAAGAGAATTAAACCTTCATTTGATTTTTTTCACTATCAGCAAGTTTGGTTGGTTAGGTTAGGTTATGACAGTAACTGCCGGACGCCTAATCCACGTCCGGTTACCGGTCGCGTATCCTCTGCGTTCTAATAAATGTTTTGAAATATCTCGATCTGTCAGTGTCAGAAGTAAACATTTCTTGCATGCATTAATTTGATCTGACATGCAAGTTTACTTTACCACCGTGACAACACTGTGCTTTGTATATTTTATCACTTCCAAAGTAAGTTGCATAGCAGAGCTGGCAAATATTAGGCTATTCATCTCACCAAGTGAATGTGTATCTGGATGGGTATCTGTTAGACCAGGACTATCTTTTTCTACTCTCCTCATACGCATAAGATATCTTATTATTAATTGTCTCATCCTCCGTTTTCAATATTTCTTCTTTGAACTTGAGGCATTTTCTGTTCTTCCAAAAAAACTGATTAAATGTTTAACTTGTTCTTAACCTACTGAATATTACAAACAAAAAGCTAATGAGTTTCTTTTTATAAACAGCTGTTTTTTTATATTTTAAATTTTGTTCTATGTATTTCTTATGGGGAAAACCCGACCTTTGAGAGGGTCTCACACCCTTAACAGTAGGAATTTAAAAATTCTAAAACCTTATTGCAAAATTATTGAGACGAATCTTTTGACACCTTAAACGTTGAAATTGGTCCACAAATAATGGAGGAGTCGTTGCGTTAACAAAAAACGGCTTCCCGTATTATGTATCTATATAAAAGGCAAAGCCCTCACTGACTGACTGACTCACTCACTCACTCATCACTATACTGCGTATACTTCAAGTTGGCCGATGGACCCGGGACTACCTGTGGCCACCCCTATAATCCCTCGCAGTGTTCGCCGGAGCAGCCCGATGTCTAGGCGATGAGTCACCTACTGGCTGTGTTTATACAATGGTAAAACTTTTTAACAGAGTAATAATTTTACATTTTCAAAAGTGTATTTGAAATCTGCTAAAAAAGTTATGAAAAATGATATAAAACTCGACCTGAACAAAAGGATTTAGGCAAGTTATAAGCTGTAAATCAATAGTAATAGGTTAAGTTCGGGACTGTTTGGGTGAAATTAAATTGATCGTAGAATTTGTTAATAGTAAATCTGTTTTAATGAGATATAATAAGCCTAATACGAATCACAATAACAATCAGTCAAAAACGTTATATATACAACATGCTATATACTGTACAATGCAAAATACTATACAAAACAAATCATACGCATCAATAAAAAAACAATACTGTACAACAAATTATTAACTATTAAACCAAATTAAACCTTCAGTGGTCTGTAATTGCTTCTGATAGTTTCACTGGCAAGGTCTTCTTAAATATGGATTCTTGTGTTCTCTCTGCAAGAGAAAAAAGTAATTAAGTAAATAAGTAAGTAAAAGTAAGTTACGATTTGTTTGTAACCAAATTGACTGACGAAAAATTGAAAACCATTTATTTAATTTGAGCAAAGTTGTCAGCTGAAAAATTCAATTATGCTAGAAAAACATCTTTTCAAACTTCTTAGTAAAATAAAATAGAATTAAGCTAAAAAAAAAAACAGATTATACACGGTAATTTATGATAACTATAATTTTTATAAATAATAATACGTTTGTTTACAATCTAGTATTTTAATAAGTAGAAGTTTTTATAGTTTTAAATATTAAAATAATTTTATTTATTAAAACTAACTCTACAAAACTGATAAAAATACTTTTTTTAATAAGGGAAATAACTTACTCATTCAAGCTGAGCGACTCCCAAGTCGTCTTCCTCATCGCTGTCCCAGTCGCTGTCATCCACATCCGAGTCCCCTGGAGCCAGGTTAATGATAAGTTCCTGCACACTGGTATCGTCGAGACCTTCACTAAGCCAATCGTTGTCCATTTCAGTCTTCACGTGCTTGACACATTTTTCCCAGGTTTCGGGGGGATAGGAGTTCACAGCTTCCATGAAGAGTGTCTGAACGTCTGACAACTTGAATGTGGTGTTCTTTGATGCTACGTACCGCTTCAAATGGCCCCATACCATTTCAATGGGGTTATAATTACAATGATATGGTGGAAGTCTGATTACTCTAAATCCTAGGTCAGCAGCTTTCTTGTCAATAACATAGGAAGTAAGCTGAGGCTTATGAAGTTTGATGAGATTGTAGAGTTCAGGCTTACGCATATCTGGAGTAAATGGAATTCCACGGTTATGCAACCAGTCAATGTACTCCCCTTTTCTAGACGATGTTGTTGGTGCTGGATTATCCACCCGGGAATGATAGGGGGCATTGTCCATCACTATTGTAGAGCCAGCTGGGATTGATTTTAACAACACCTCAAAAAACCAGCCTTCAAAAACTTCGTGGTTCATCTCTTCGTGGAAATCAACTGTCTTTTTTGATTCAAAAATCAATGGTGGTGAGTTTATCCAACCATTGTATCCTCCTGCATGGCATATTATGAGTCTTTTCCCTTTTCCGAGCGGAGCATTTAAGTTGCAATCAGACTTGTCGTCCGTCCATCCCACCTCCTTTGTTGAGTTGGCGTTAAGCCACGTTTCATCGAGGAAAATTACATTTTTCATATCAACATTTTTCATTTTTCTTAAAAATCTACACCTAGATAAAGCAATACTAGGTTTTTCCATTAGCAGTTTTCTTTTGTTGAGCTTTTTCCAGCGGAAACCAAGGTTTTTCAACAATTTGGATAACGTTCGTAATGAGCCACTGAATAGACTTGCCTCACGAAGTGTGACCTGAAGTTTTCGGAGCGTTGGTACCTCTTTGCGTCTGTAATAATTTACCACGTGCCGACGAATCGCAGTTCTGTCAAAATCGTCCATGAGCGAGAACCGTGACTGCTTGTGCTTTTTCTTTTTTGGCGTTTGAAGTACAGGAGTCGAGTGGTTACATACAGCTACAGCTTCTTGTTCACTTTCTTCTGCCAAGTCCAGTTGAATGTCACTAGAATGAGATGTATCAGCACCAACACTAACACTTTTCAACTCCGCCTTTATTCTTCCCACGGTCCGTATCGACACCTGACACGCTTCGGACACTCTTTCGACAACTTTCTTTACGTCTTTTAGCGGCCCTTTGTTGTCGCGTTCTCGCTCGAAATACTGGAGGACAGACGCAATTATCGTTCTAGCTTGGGAATGATACACTTTACCCCGTTTCTCTGAAGGAGGCATTACATAAGAATTTACGGCGAACAAATTAAATTGACTACTTTTAAAATTATATTCACTATACGTCCAGAAATGTAATTCTAAATAAGCGCAAAAACACTGGCCGAATTTCACGTACTCACGATGTGCACCCCTCGACTGTCACTACACACACTGGTCATATATTTGCAGTTTTACTAAATGAGTCACAACCCCTCTTTTAGAAATAGTATGAATCATCTAGAAACAGACTTGTTTGCAGATTTTCTTGTTGATTAACTTTAGCATTGTAACACCCTTATCACATTAAATATTATTTTGTTTTGGTCGAGTTTTATATCATTTTTCATAACTTTTTTTGCAGATTTCAAATACACTTTTGAAAATGTAAAATTATTACTCTGTTAAAAAGTTTTACCATTGTATAAACACAGCCAGTAGGTGACTCATCGCCTAGACATCGGGCTGCTCCGGCGAACACTGCGAGGGATTATAGGGGTGGCCACAGGTAGTCCCGGGTCCATCGGCCAACTTGAAGTATACGCAGTATAAATTCTCCCACTTCCCATTTACCTAGGAGGCTGAAATTTGGTACACTGATTCTTTAGGCATTAAATAGGAAAACTAAGTTGTTTTTATTCTGATCAGACTCTCGGGCTCCACCCCAGTGGCTCTGGAGTTTCCCATGTTAACCTTATGAGTACTCATATTTAAATGGAATTAATGAATCTTAACAGCTGTTTCAATTAAACAAGTTGGTTCTGTTTTATGATGTTCAATAGCATTAAAGTTACAAGAATTACCAACAGGGTGCAGCACTATTATTTCTTTTACATTTATGACAACAGCTAATTTGCAAACCAAAAGGTGAGTGAGCGTAGCGAACGAACTTCAACCTGGAGGCGAGTTAGCGTAGCGAACAAGCTAGCCTGAAGGCAAGTGAGCGCAGCGAACGAGCTCCAACCTAAAGGTGAGTGAGCGTAGCGAACGAACTACAACCAGGACGTGATTGAGCCATGCGAACGAGCTCACTTATGAAGTAAAACGGGGCAAAGTCCGCGGGTACAGCTAGTATCTAAATAAAAAGGCAAAGCCCTCACTGACTCACTCATCACTAATTCTCCCACTTCCCATTTACCTAGGAGGCTGAAATTCGGTACACCGATTCTTTGGCCATTAAATAGGAAAACTAAGTAGTTTTTATTCTGATCGGGCTTTCGGGCTTTGCCCCAGTGGCTCTGCAGTTTCCTATGTTAACCTTATGATTTTTCATATTTAAAAGGAATTAATAAAATCTTAACAGCTGTTTCAATTAAACAAGCTGGTTCTGTTCTATGATGTTCAATAGCATTAAAGTTTCAATGATTACCAACAGGGTGCAGCACTATTATTTTTTTAAATTTATGACAACAGCTAATTTGCAACCAAAAGGTGAGTGAGCCTAGCGAACAAACTTCAACCTGGGGGCGAGTTAGCGTAGCGAACAAGCTAACCTGAAGGCAAGTGAGCGCAGCGAACGAGCTCCAACCTAAAGGTGAGTGAGCGTAGCGAACAAACTTCAACCAGGACGTGATTGAGCCATGCGAATACTTATGAAGTTAAACGGGGCAAAGCCCGCGGGTACAGCTAATATATATATATATATATAAGATAAGATACAGTATATTTTTTCATTTGTTTTAAAAACGACCATCTAGTAAAAATTTTTAGCCAAACATGACGTATTTATCAGTTGAAATTTGTTAAAAAATAGCTACCAGTAACAAAATAATTACAAAACATTTATAGGCCCTAGATTGTCCTTCTGTTTCCATGAAAATATATCAATAAAACTACAGTACTGTTTTCATTATAATAAAACCTTGATAAAACTTAATAATTTTGGGAGCAGAACCTGTACTTCATCTTAACCTCTGCTCTTTGAACTGAACTAGTATTTACAGCTGACTCCCTGACTTCAATTAATATATTTGTTTATTTACATTCTTCCAATAGCTCCATAAGCTTAACATACAAACTTTACAGGCCAGTGGGGCTAAGCCCCAAGGTTAAATACAAAACTGAATATGCCTATACTCTTAGACCACCCGGCCGGCTTCTATATCTCCAATATGAAAGCAAATGGAAACCTAATTGCAACTGGAACCTCCTATTTTGCCCCAAGAAATTCAGCTAAATTATTTTCAAACCCAAAAAAGCACCCCAAAGGGCAGATTTTGGGGGGTGGAAGTGGTTTTTGGGAAATTTTCAAAAGTAAAGGGGGGTCGTGTTATACCTAATTTTGAAAGGTTCTTGAGTCCTGAGTATTTTAGTAGAAAAAGTTTTAAATTATTTTCATCCCTATTTACAGGGTGTTCAAAAACGTACAAAAAATACCTCCGCCGCAGCAAACCTGTCGACTAAGCGAATTTCCATTTGTCTGAATTGATTTTCAATTAAATCTATTTAAATAACATAAGTTTTAGTGAGTGCCTAAGGTTGCTGCTACAAGGAAACTAATAAAGTGTGTTTTTTGGTAAAATATTTGTACAATGTCGTTGTGTCCAACATTGTTTGTATTAAAAAACTGCATGAAATCATATAAAAAATGAAACTTTATTTAACTTATGACTTGCTTGTAAAACTTTAATAATACAATATCTACTGTTTTTGTTTTTGTTTTTACAAATAAAAATTCAATCATATGTTAATTTACAAACAGTCTGTTAGGAGATTGAACATGCCGCCCACCTTGAAAGTACCACTTACAACAAAATACAAAAAAGAAACTATTTACAAAAAATGTCTTATCGATTGTCTTTGGCCTTTTCAATTTTCAATTGGTAATACACACAAGCGATTTACAGATCTCTTGAATGTTCCTGTAGAGGTTCGCACTGTAGCCACTCTAGTTTTTCCATCAAGTCCAGGATGAATATCTTCAACAATAGCAGTAATCCATTTTAAAGGTGGTAGATTGTCATCTTTGATTATGACTAGTTGACCAGGTTTGATATTATTGGCAGTCGTGAACCACTTTTGCCTTTGTTGTAATTGAGAGAGGTATTCCTTGGACCAACGGCGCCAGAAGTGTTGCATAAGCTGTTGTAATCGTTGCCACTGTGATAGACGATTTTCTTGCTTAAATGTATAATCTGGATCTGGTAAACTTGTAAGTGCTTTCCCAATTAAGAAATGACCAGGTGTTAGAGGAAGGGGATCTTTAGGATCATATGACAGAGGAGTTAGAGGTCTTGAATTCAGGCACGCCTCTATCATTGTAAGCACTGTATACATGTCTTCAAATGTGAGATTGGCGTTTCCCACAACCTTCCTTAAATGCTGCTTTACGGACTTAATTGCGGATTCCCAAAGCCCTCCAAAATGGGGTGAATTCGGAGGTGAGAAATGCCATTTGATGCATTGAAAAGATGTAGCATTTATGATTTGTTCTTGATGATCATTACTTTTAAGAAGGGAGTAAAGTTCCTTTATTTCGTTATTGGCTCCAACAAAGTTTGTTCCGTTATCGGAATATATGTGGTTACATAAGCCTCTTCGAGATGTAAAGCGCTTGAATGCTGCTAAAAAGCCGTCAGTTGTTAAGTTGGATACTAATTCCAAATGAATAGCCTTTGTGGTAAAGCAAACAAAGACTGCAATGTAGCCCTTAATTAATGAAAACTTTCGAAGGCGGTTTGACCGTAAATATATCGGTCCGCAATAATCAACTCCTGTAATCTCAAAAGGCTGTGATGGATTCGTTCGATGTGCAGGTAAGTTTCCCATTTCAGGTTGTGTGCATTTCGGCTTTGTTTTAAACATGGTATGCACTTATGGATGATTTTCCTTATAACGTTCTTGGCATTGATGTATAGAAGTGCTTGAGGACCCACATGAAGATTGCGAATGTAAAAAATATTAAAGACAGACGACATCACAACATCAAAAGGAACCTATTGCCGGCCTCTGACTAAAGTTGCAGTCCTTACCGTTGGAGGGGAAAAGATGTAATATGTTTCATATTGACTCATTGATTTGTGTTCTTTAATATGTTTAATTTATGCCTGCCTTCTTTATTTTAATTGAACTAACACATGTTTTATTATTATTATAACTTTGTAAATAATGTCCAATTTAAATAAAAAAAAAAAAAAAAAAAAAAAAAAAGATGTGTACTGTATTTAAAAATGGACATTATTTACAAAGTAATAATAATAAAACATATGTTGGTTCAATTAAAATAAAGAAAGAAGGCAGGCATAAATTATATAACATATTAAAGAACACAAGTCAATGTTAATATGAAACATATTACATCTTTTCCCCTCCAACAGAAAGGACTGCAACTTTAGTCAGAGGCCGGCGATAGGTTCCTTTTGATGTTGTGATGTCTACTATTCGTACTTGGCCATCGTGACCTGGGTAGACAGCCG